CTTTCCTGCTGGTTTCTTGCTCCATTGCAGCTGCCAATTTCTGTATGAGGAAGCATGTGACCTCCATCCCAAGATGCAGTGCTCTGACCTGAATGGCTACTCTCCTGGCCCACACACTCTATGGCACAGACATCACCTGACACCATCAGGCACAGAGCTTACACAGGTGTTGACAATCAGAGCAGCAAAATGGCAGGTAAGCAAGCTGAGTGATACACAAATAAGATACATTTTTGTTACTGATTAAAGTACTTGAATGGATTTTTAGGATTGAACTCCTGAGTTTAATGTCACTTTAATTGTTTTTAATTGCTAGTGATTACATAGATGTAGTGATTCATCACTCAGTAGATGGAAAACTTGTCTTATGGAGTAATGTACAGTAGCAAGTATTATCAATCAATCTCCCATAAATACATAATGCTCCAATCATGTGAAATTGATTGTTATAGTATGCTACTAAATGCTACTTGTGTAGTTTACTTCATAGGGAGCTAGCTGTTTCATCTGTTTAGCAGTCAATTGCAAATCCTAGCAATTTATTGCTAACAATTTTAGCCGTATGTTTGAACTATTAAAAATCTCCTGCACAGCTTTAGCTTATTGAGGTGACTCCCAGTCGTTAAGCCTGCCCATACACCTTGCAATCTGAATGTGCAGCTACACCAGCAGTTAAATCCCTTTGCTACTGAGAGATATGACCACTTTTTGGTAGTCATCTCATTTGCAATACATTCAAATCAATGTGATGTGTGATGCTAATGAGACTTCTCTCAGCAAGCGGATAAAGTATGTGTAAACCCTAATGGAGGGACATTTAGTTTGTTTCATAAACAACTGCCTTTTTTTTAACTATAAAATACTGCTGGAATTCAATAAATCATATACGACATTGGCGGTAGTGCCCCATTAATTCATGCAAGCCTAATTCATGAAAGCCTTACGGCAGTTTTCGGTTGCTGTTCAGGCGTGCAACAGATTCAGGTAGTTATATTCACTGCCACTTTAGGAACCAGTTACCATGGCTGCAACAGATTAAAAAAAAAAGATTTACCATTAGTTTAAGGTTAGGAAACTGGGGGTAATTAAGACCACTTGGGATCTGGTGTACATATTGACACGAATGCTCAGAGTGGGGCATGCATGTGCAGGAAAGCTGTCATGAATGTGACAGCTTCTCACTCATTGGCTGCTATCACTCCAGGCCGCCAGAATCTTAGCAAAATTACGCACCATCAACACCATGGGAAACTCCTCAGCCAGGAGGAGGGCTGTAATAAAAACGGTGGCTGACATCATTACTTCAGTCCCTATGTTTACATTCAGATGTCAGGCAGGGAATCTCCTTGCCAACAGCTAAATAAGTTACTAGTTGCTAAGACACTGATGGCTCCACAGCTGACAGCCTCTTAGCAACCAATGATGGCAGCCTTAACCAATGACACAGACACTGACAGTGGGCAGAGCCGCTCTGGCTGTCTATTGGCTATGGAATCTGCACACTGCCTGCTGTCAACCACAAGAGAGGAGGTGGACCTGATGGGGAACTGATGGAAGCTGTCAGTGTCTGATTCACTGGTTGTTAAGGCTGTCGTCATTGGTTACTAAGAGGCTGTCAGATGTGCAGCCATTGGTGTTACACAGCATATGTTTGACACAGTTTGCTGTGCTGCAGTGCCAATATTTTCCACAGGTGTGAACCCAGGATAATTCCTTTAGTAGCAGAAAGATGGTTTTGTAGCCCTAATGTTAATATCTCAGTAATACGAAGATAAAACCAGCTATGTAGTTTAGCCCTTATCTCCCCAACACCCCCTACCATTCTTAATCCAGTGAGATATCACTAGATTGAACAGCTGCTTGTCCAAATGTTTGCAGCCTACACATACACTCTGCCATCCTATTTATTTTCATGGAGTTTCTGTATACGAGCTCATACTCGGACGCTCCAAAAGCATAAACGATTGGCTGCTGAGAGATGAATGGGAATACAAAGTGCATGCACAGACCTAGCTGGGAGCAATTTGATGAGCAGCTGTGCAAAATAGTCAGCAATATCTTACTTATAATCAAACAGCTGAGTATAGGACGACTATGTTGTGTGTCTGCCCTGCTACAAAAAGCAACCACAGAATAAGAATAAAAGCTGCTCCTGTAAGAAACTAAACACTTTCTGTGTTGAAAAAAAAAAATCACCCCAAAGCCTCTGCAGAAACTGACTCTCCTGTGTCCCCTACTGTACTTCCTTAGGTGGGAGAGTGCACCAGGGGACACTTAAGGTGCCCATACACCTTACGATTATTGGACGAAACTTTTCGTCCGATGATCGAACCGTCGTACGATTTTCGTACGACGGCCCCATCCTGCCCCGATTATCGCAAGGTTCAATCAGTGGTAGTTAGAAAAAAACACCTGGACGACTTGCGGTAATTGACCGCAATTATTTTCGTTTGCGCATGCGCAGTGTTAATCGTACGACTTTTGACGGACGGAAACGCCACCAACCATGCGAACATCGTACGATCAACCAAAGTTTTCAAACATGCTTGACCGTCAAAAGTCGTACGATTGTACAGTACTATCGGTCGGGCACTCTATTCACACGTTACGATTGTCGTACGAAAAGTCGATCGCATACGATTATCGTACGATAATCGTAAGGTGTATGGGCACCTTAACTCTAGTGGCCCTGCTGACCACGCGGATGTTTCTCAATTCGGAGGAATTTCCTTTCACTTTCTGTCGTGGCTACTGCACAGAAAGTGAAGGGAAATCTCCCCAATGGGACACAGATGGCAAAAAATGCTGACTGGGGTTGTAATTGTAACCCTCAGGTAGTTTTTGGAAGTCATCAGGGTTGCTCCCCCTCAACCCTTCCAGTAGTGCAACATGCGAGTACATGTCGTGTTTTTGCAGCCAATTTTTGGCGGTGTTGGCACCAACACCGGGCATAATGATGGCAAGGGTAGCCCTTCTCTCGGCATCCATGGTTTGGTACTGGCCACGAACAACTTTGCAGATGAATTCTCACTGTTTGGGTGCTTGGGACAGAATGGCCTGCCTCAGGGATATTCTGCAGCATGAGTCAAACAATCACTTCCGGTGTTCAAATGGGTTTGTTGAATTGATGTGCCTGTCGAACGATTTTCGGCAGGGGAATTTGTCTTCGCATGATGGGGCAGTCGTACAGAAATCGAGTGATGGGCTGATGACCAGACGAGAGAAATCCTACGATGGTTGTAAGGTGTATGGCCACCTTAACCCTAACTAAAAGTAAAAATGTTTTGTCTTCAGTTCTAATTTAAGAATGAAAACTGAAATGTACTTTTACAGCTTTCAACAAAGCCACTCAAAGACTAGTTCATTTTTGTTTCCTACAACTTTTTATAAATCCTCTTCAGTGTAAAAAGCCCAAAAATATAATCTCAATAGTTGTGTGTATATACACGTTTAAAATAAGATGGACTTGACAGGGCAGGCATTTGCAGCAGGAGCATTTCACACAAAAAGAGACAATAATATCTAGAAAATGAAATAACATAAAAAAAAGTTTCAGATGCTGAACCTGTAGTTTTAATATAAAAGTGAAACTGCATAGAGAAAGCACATCTAAAAAAAAACAAATTGGGGAAAAAGCATCAAAAGTTATAAAACACCGACAAAAAAATTATCTATCATTGCTTCCTTGTGTTAAATGCAAAACAAGTGATACAGGCTTTAATCTCACTTGAATCTTAACAGAGAGATATGTGAACACAGTAGCAGAAATCATAGATGACATCATTTGTAATGGAGAATTTATCCTGCTGAGTCTTTAATTTAACTATGGGTGGAAGCACTAGAATAGACACACCTGAATCTCTAAATGAGACTCTCATTTAGAGTTCAGCTTGATGACTATACATCCACCTTGTAATTGCACTTAACATTTGATAATCTGGGTAATGTAAAAGAACATCAGACTGAAGAGCCTAGCCATGGCAGAACAACGATGGCTGTGGAACCCTCAATCATCACACGAGACGTTTGGATGGCAGGGAAGAGACAAGCAATCCCGCTACGCAGAAACTCTGCAGAGTGCATGGGTGCCTAATCATTATACACAAAGGTAAATGTTCATTTGTTATCCAACTTTTATTTTTTATACTCTACCGCATACGATGCAATAACTGGTTAACCGAGACTTTTGTGGTAACACTGTTAACAGTTGTTACCCAGCATCATACAATGCTGCCAATAAAACACAGCATACTGGGGCTTTTCAAATCTGGTCTATAGTAAAATGCTTCTATATAGTATACATTATGTATGAAATATTATACATAGTAAAATATTTTTTTCCCGGTGATCTGGCCACACATATTACAATTCGACTGCATGCTCTACTTTAAAGTTACCCACACTGTACACATGTACTGTGATTGAATAGATTGACTAGGTTCTTGCACTACATAGTTGTATGTAAATCTGAATGATTTATACAGTTTGTAGTGTGAATAGGCAGCTGAAAAATGATGACTGGAATCTGGTTGCTGTACTTGTTTCATTCAGTGGATTGTGGGCATGTCTAATATATTATGGCTAATCAGATAATTACAGGGTGGGGAATAAGTAGTAGAATGTCAAGTGGAACCTGATTTCCGAGATCCTGATTATTCTTTGTTAGTATTTTATTTAAATAATGTGTGCTCCAGTCCTGGCATTGCTCTGTCTTTTTCTTGTATAGTACAGTTCTGTCCATTCCTGGATTTAGTTTCCTGTTTGTAAAGAAGAAATATAAAAGTTGATTGCTTGTACACATGTGAGATTCCTTTTAATATACTATGTAAACTGTAATAGTGCAGTGTTTGGCAGGGATTGAACGTAATATCCTTCGCTCATGAAAACAGTCTGATGCAAGTTTTAGAGGATCCCTCCCACCTACTGCCATAACAGGAGACTCTAGCCCTATATGTCTGTGTTTATTATTTTTTGTGTCTTCCCAAGTAAAATGCTGAGTAGATGGAAGTCTTCCTGTATCCTGCTAGGTCCCATATCTCTGTCCTCCCCGCACTTTGCCAAAGATTGTAATTCGACGAAGGCTTTAACCCCCTGGCCACTGTATAAAAAAAAGGTTTCCTTTGGACATTTCCGTGGTGCTGTTTGATATAGAAAAGCTGGATTGCATGACAGAACTTATATGGTCGTGTACAGTCACCTAGTGTTCCCATAGGAGAGACGTGTTTGGAGACGAACTGAGCTACCCAGATCTCTAGGAGGCAACATGTCTTCAACATATAACCGATCATCTAAGGATTTTACAAGGTCGCGGATATCCCAGTCGGACTCTCCACCCTCTTCCCCTTCACCGACAGCAAAGACATTACGTGTATGGCAACTTTAACCTCTTCCCCGATCTGTGTGTCTTCTAATAGGTGCAAGGTTACTAAGTTTTTTGTAAATGCACATAATGAACTTCACTTATTGCACACTTCTTGTGACAGCCACCCATAACATCACACTTTTCACACAGTTCACTATCTGAAGCCTCTGCTATTCTTTCCCACTGTTTTCCTCTCCCTTCTCCAGCTTGCTGTCTCTTGTCCTAATATGGAATTCCAGAGAGATGATTCCAGTAAATGCTCTCTGTATGTTGTTTGATCCCACAGCTGGTCACACACATAGCATTAATAGGAACTTTAAATTGTGCTTAGTTTTTATAAAGCTAGAAAACTGACATGTATGTGGAATGCAAGCTTTAACATATTGCAAATAGTGATTTTCCTAGCATTTTCCTTATGCAGATAGCATATAGACAACTTGATATTTGGGAGGATATGCGTTACAGAATAACTCCTGCCTTTCCTCTAGCATATCTGATTTTTAACTTACCTTAATAGTCATTTGATTGCTGGTAGTGTTCTTTGAAAAAGAAATCAGCAGCAGCCCATGTTAGCTGTAGGACGTCTGCATCACCCAGTGATGACATGCCTGTGTGAGCAGTTTTCAATGTTCAATGCACAGAGCTTCCAGTGTAGAAACTTTCAGTCTTCTTACAACACCCTATAACTTGGCAGCTATTAAATAATGGTCACTATTAAAAAAAATGATATTTTAGTTACCATAGTGTGTGTGTATATGTATATATGAATGGCAGCTGAGAGTAAACATGGCTGAAAACCGCAATCATTTTGGCCTTCTTCAAAAAGTAATTCCTAAAGGGTCAGTTCGTTTAAAAGTTACATTTTTTTTAGTTATAGGTGGAGTGCCATGGGCTGAGGCAGGCGTTTTCATGTCTTGAATAATCTTACAGTCAGATCTTCCTGCCATATCTCCTGACACTGTGTCTGTCTACTTGGGAGTTTTGGGATGTTTCACTCACCTTTGAATGTTCCAGCACCGCCTGTGGTATTCTACAAAATATGAGATAAATATTCTGACAGGGAGAGTGGAAACACCTCATAATAATTGCCACAGCCAGTGAACAGACACAGGAACTCAAGCACAGATGTTTCGCTAATTGAATATCTGAAAAATAAAATTGTCAGCACCTAAAGGGTCAGTCCACTCAATTTTAATTTCAAAGCGACTGTGACCCGAAATTGATTTTGTTAATTTTATAAAGATGCACGTGCCCCTTGCTGCACACTGTGATTGCACCTGCCAGCCGTTATATACATAAATACAATGTCCCGTAGTGGCATCCCAGCCAGTAGGGGGAAAACAATGCACAGCAGGGGACACAGGCATCTGACACACCTAGAGGAGAGCAAAGATAGGAGTCACTGCCTGCTGGGATGACATTGGCACCACCAGCAGTTTATATTTGCCTTCCCTTCTTTCAGCCATTGCTACATTCAGCCACCGGGAGCATGTAAATAGTGTGTACAGATTTGGAGTTTACAAAGAACTCTCTCCCTACTCCATGTAAAAGAACTTTGTGCTGAGTGGCCAATTGTCCAAGTCCAAGTGTTGTGCATGCTGTCCTGCAGAATATATTACAGAGTGGCAGCTACATGCCAAGTTCTGGTATACTGTCAGGTGGAGTGATCTCTGTCCAGCTGTAAAACTATAGTATTAGTCTGATGAGGAGAGGTGCAGGAGCTTGTGCATGGTTAGTAAAAGCACTACACACCAATGAGGGGGGGCTTTAATATTACAGACACTGACCGCCAGTGATATTGCTTCCACTAACACCAATACTAAGGGTTTATTATTGCTCCCACTTTCTCTCCATGTACCCCCCAATCCTAGTTTGTCCAAAACGTAGCAAAGCAGGAAAGGTGCCACACTACATGGTATTAACCATGAGGCACTAGCAACATTTGCGGGCCAGCTCCCTAGTTGCATCTTAGTTTTCTTCTCAATCTCTTCAATGTGTCCCTCCTAGTTTATTTTTTTCAATTATTAGCATGTTTCCCCCCATACCCAGCAGTAGTGGGAGAATTCTCTTCACTCCCAGTAACCAATAGTGGGGAAGTGAAGGCAAGTATAAGCTGCTGGTGGGGCTGTCATGTGTTGCCTTGGCACAGCTTTGGTTCATGTTAAAATGCAGGATACAGTATTTTATAATAGTATTTTATAATAAGCAACTCAAGCTGCCCACTGACCATTATGCAGATAAGAGATGGTGAAGTGACAGAAAGCTAGAATAGAAGGTATTTAGCCCGCATTCACACCTATGTGTTCAGTGAACGCGTGCCAAACATGCACAAAATCCGCACGTTATGGAGCACACATGTTCCCATACGCACAGGTATGAATGTGGGCTAATCACTCCCAACATATCTGGGGATTTCAGTTTTGTTGCAAGGAAAAATCCAAGCTGATCTATTTGCATTGCAGGGATTAATGTATACTTTATTGTAGAACCTTATGCTCCGAACATACTGATAAGCCTTTCCAGTGCATTGGAATGAGGATTTTCAAAATGGATGCAATGTGAGAGGTTCCCTTCAAATGCATTTGCATGATTAGGCACCAGCTATGAAAATGCAGATAGGCCATTCTATCATTGGATTGCGGATTTTTGAAATTGGTATTAATAAGGAAGTTCTGCTTCAAATGACATCACATTATCTGCCCCAATGTGCAGTAAACCTAACGTCATTGTGAGAGATGCCGTGTTCAAACAGTCTACCTGTTATTTTACCCAAAGCATTGTGTAGATTTGTGAGGGGATGTAAGGTTACAGGGCAATACATTTTCACATTTTATAGCAAGTTGTAGTTTGTTGCAAATTAACCACTATAGTTACACCATATGTAAATTAATATCATGTACCAAAGGGCTAACACTAAGATCAAGGCTGCTGCAGCAGTCGTGTCCTTGGTATCATTGTTTGCAGTTGGCACCAGGCTTTCACATACAAGCGGTTGAGCTATCCCAGGCTTTGCTGTACCTCACGTGTGCCTGGGACTGGCACGACAGGTCTTTGCTGCTTCCAGTGGCTGATCTCCTGTCTGGTTACTGAGCCCATAAACAAGGAGAATTTTGTAACTTCGGGTTTCAGGCTGTCATTTCTTTATCTATAAAAAATGTAAATGACAAATAAAAAAAAAACACAAATATTTTAAATTTCTCCACCCACACGCTCATACAAACACAAACGCGTTGGTTGCACCTAAGTGTGAAAGTGACAATTAACATAGCATGTAAGGTTGAATAAAGACCAGGGTCCATCCAGTTCAACGTATGTATGTGAGTGCGTGTGTGTGTGTGATTGTATTTATCTTGCTGTAACACTTCCGATATCCCTGTAGATTCTGCAAAAGAAGGAACTCATCCAGAAGTTTCTTGAATTTATCAATGTTATCAGCAGATACCACCGCCTGTGGTAGGGAATTCAAAACTTTCACAACTCTTACAGTGAAAAAACCCCTACAAATTCTAAGATTGAAGAGGGTTCAATCTTAGAATTCGTAGGGGGTTTTTCACTAACCTCTTGTTATGTCCCTGGGTTCTCAATACAGTTTTCGGATTAAACAGTTTGTTCCTAATATTGTGGTGTCAGAGACCAGGACACCTCCAGGTGGCACCGTGGAGCTGAAGCAGATCCTGCAGTTCCAGTGCCCATCTGCAGGTGTCTCTGGGCAGTCAGTGGCTGTCTGGGACTTGAGCACCTCCAGGTGGCACTGTGACGCTGGAACCAGGACCTGCAGCTCCAGGGCTCACCTGCAGGTGTCTCTGCAATTAAGCACCATCTGGTGTTACCTGGGAGGGTATTTAATCCCTCCCTGCAGTGGGGATTTTGCCTCAGTATTGTCCCCCTAACCTGTATCCTGTATCCTGTTGCCTGAATCCTGTATCCTGTTGCCTGAGTCCTGTATCCTGTAGCCCGAATCCTGTAGCCTGTTGCCTCCTTGGACCCTGACTCCTTCCCCCCTGAGGTCTCTTGATCTGTGACTCCCCTCCTGTTGCCCTGCTCCTCTGGTTAACTTGCCCTGCTGTACCGCGTGTGTTATTCTGTTTACATTTAGTTTGGCTAATCTATGTTACTTGTGGGTATTGGTGGGGTTGCTTGCGTTTATATAATTTTGTATGTCTAATAAACTATAAGTTCATAGCCTTGTTTGGTGTGGTCGAGTATTTGGTCCTCCCGTATAGATATCTGCACACGGTGTGGGGCACCTGTGCACGATATCCTGACATGTGGTCCCCATTGATGATTTTGAAGACTACAATAAATTCCCCTCTAATCGCCTCTTTTCTAAGGTGAATAAGTTTAGATTTTGAATGCGGTCTTCATAACTCAGGCCTTCTATCCCTTTAATTAATTTTGTAGCCCTTCTCTGAACTCTCTCCAGTTCCAGGGTGTCCCACCTGAGAGTCTGGGACCAAAACTGTACCGCATACTCAAGATGAGGCTGAACCAATAATTGAAAAAGTGGAAGTATTACTCTTTGATCCCTTGCTACAATTCCTCTTTTAATACACGCCAGTATCTTGTTAGCTTTACTGGCTGCTGCTTGGCATTGCTTACTATTGCCAAACCTGTGATCTATGAGGACCCCCAGGTCTTTTTCCATGTCTGACTTCACTAAAGTAACACCCCCAAGTAATAGTTTGGGCTCATGTTCTTTGCTCCCATGTGCATAACTTTATATTTTTCAACATTAAATTCAATTTGCCATCTTGTAGCCCATGCCTCAATGTTGCTTAGGTCCTGTTGTAGTGCGAATATCTCCTGTTCAGACTTTACTGCTCTGCAGAGTTTAGTATCATCCGCAAAAAACGAAATTGATCTATTTAGTCCAATCTCTAGGTCGTGGATGAATAAGATGAACAGGATCGGTCCCAGGACTGAACCCTGGGTCACACCACTCCCAACCTTTGCCCAATTAAAGAATTACCCATTTATCACTACCCTCTGGATCCGTTCTTGCAGCC